ACCCTGATGGAAATACTTTGATCATGTATGCTGAGCACGTGTTTGATTGTATTTGCCTCCTATTAGCAATCTCACCACCAATAGAACTACCAAAACTGTTGATAATGTGGAGGCCAATAGTTGGATAGAGAATGGTAATCTGCCTTGAGTGGAAAATGGTGTTGAGCTAGCCTGGAGGAAAATGTGCAAAGCTATATCGATCCACAAAAGGAGGAGAAGTTTGACGACAAATGAAGATGTTTAAAAGTACAGCATAAAATGTAGATTAACATGCTCGGAAAATGGGATCCTCAACTGCGAGTTTGCGAGCTCTCATCCCATCAGGTGGAGTGTATAATAATTAATAAACAAGATTTCTACTAAGAAAACTGTTATGTGTTCAATCCACCTTACCAGATGTACCTAATGCGAAATAATTCTCCTTCCTTACTATTCTTTGGGGCTGGGAAGTAGCTCTGGTGATGCTTTAAGGATCAGTTGGAGTCTTGGATCATGTGGAGAGGAGTGAAAATGTAATGTCTAGAAGTATTCTTTTTCCAGTTGGGTAAACATTGTTCCATAAGTCGTAAATTTGTAATAAGAATTTCCCTTAAAAGGAAATTTGATTTCTTTATTATTATTATTTTGGTAATCTTTGCCTTCGTTCTCGAATTTTCACTATGTTTGATTGAAAATGAATTTGAAATAACTTTTTCTTGAACATAATCAATAATCAATGACTTTGATTATTATTTTAGGGTTAATTGTAGTGGCGGTTTCAAATCTTTCTAAAAATGTGCAGATTTTACCCAAATATTTCAAATTAGTGCAACAAAAGTGTCTTTGGACGACTTTCATCCGAATTTCATTAGTTGAACAAAATTCGTCGTTTGAACATAATTTATCATTTTAAAAGGGCCAAATTGGTCAAATTATGGTCAAAAGTTGTCTTTTGCCCTTTCAAAATGGGTCAAATTATGGTTAAACACTAATTTTTTATCAACTAACAAGTTTTTAAATGACAACCGTTCAAAGATCCTTTCACCGCACAGTTTAAAAGGTTTGGGACCGATATTGCTATAAATCAAAAGTTTGAATAAAATCTACATATTTTTTAAAGATTCGGGACCTTTGACACAATTATTCGTACCATTGCCGATATGATCTGTTAAACAATTAATTATTTTAAATTGTTATTACAATAAATAAAGTATTCTAATATTTTATTATGGAATTATTTCAAAATGTCATTTAAAAACATAATACAAAAAGGGGAAAATTGCAGCAGAGGTCTCAAACCTTTTAATTTGTTGCAGAATATACCTTAACCTTTCATTTTTACAGCCATAATCCCAAATCGTTAACTTCCATTTGACAGATTTAGAGATGGCAGCGGGGCCCGGCCCCGCCCGGCCTTGCCTTGCCTTAGATGAGCGGAGCGGGGCGGGTGTAGGGCGTAGACCTGCCCCTTTTTTTTTCAAATTTTTTTTTAGTTAAAATACAAATTCAAAATTTTAAAATTTAAAGCAAATAATGTTCAAACTAACTACATCCAAAGCAAGCACTCGAAACAAGTAATGTCCAAAATTAAACATTTGCAATTAGAATTACATTGTAACTAAATTTC